GGATGCAACGGGCACTAGGGGATGGGACGGGCGAAACGGTCGGGCTCTACGGGCGTGGTAGGATTGGCGCAGCGGGCGCGAGAGGCTCAAGAGGGAGGAACGAGATCTAAGAGGATCCTAACCTAGGTGATACCATGTCAGAAACGAAAGGGTGATTGTATTGCAGTGAGTTGGGGCACATATGCCTAATGCTAACAACTGTACCCCACATGACATGCCTCACTACAGGCTACAACATTTGACATTATCTACATGTGTACCCTTCATGTTTAGCTGGGTGTGGTCGATCGCATGAATCACCGATCTCACTCGGTGAGGGTCAGTTTACAATTACGCTTGGGAATGTATACGTATCTTTGTAATGTGCTATCATTCGCAAAAGAGAGCATCGGGAAGCACACAAACCAATCACGCCACGATTTTTTGGAGGAAGGTGTATACACCTTCACCTGGCTTTCGCGAAATATCGTCAGGCTCAGATGTCTCGATGAGGTGGGATTGCTCGACTTGGTGTTGCAGCTGTGGTTATTCGCGATATCTCGCGAGGAAGTTCGGTTACTTGATATCCACGATGTGTTTTGACACCCTTGTGGTACCCCAGCGCAAGAAAAGAGCCAACCTGACATCGTGGTTGCATGTGGAAGTTGGTGGTGTGTCATGTCAAGGTCTGGCGTCCTATGTCCACATGCTGGCGCGCCGTCGTCGGGAGTGTAGGGGCGGGAGGTAGGGTGTGGGGGGCTGCGTTGCATACGCAGATTTTGCCAGAGGAAACAGGGGAATGGAAGGCCAAGATTCTGTTCCGCAAACGAGAGGGTTGGGCAGTACACCCCACTACTGTACTGTACTGTACACAAAGCATCATCTCTCCTCACCTCCACCCTCTCCGCACATCATTTGCGTGAGCGCGCAGATATTGAGGCTGCCCCTCAGGAGAGAATCTTGCAATAAGTTTGAAATTCTGGTTCCGACAGAACTTGCAATACACGGCAACGAATCAGGCATCTGTAGTTCACAAGGTGTGACAAGAGAAAAGTACAACATACGACCATTTTCATTTGCATGCAACTTAGCATAGGAGCTTTTTTCACGTGTATGCCATGTCCTTGGCCAGGTACGCAGGTTAAAATCCTGTTATCATAAGGATGAGCACTGTCCAGGATTTGAGTCGAAATGGCACGAATAGTCTGAAATAATTGTAATTTCAGATTAAGCAAAATGAATTGAAATGGCTTGCTCACAATTTTGCATTTCGGCAATCCGAAGCGATGATTGCATGCGTGCCCAATTGCTACGCAAACTTCTGCTTTGGACCAAGAGGACATGACGGGTTTTAACGCTGGATCAGCTGTACTGCTGTTGCAGGTGACGTCCGCTTGAATGACAAATCAGCAAACCCTCTTGTGACGTGCTTTTGATTAAAATGGTATTCCAAAAGACGGAAAAAAATTCTTGAATGCTGGTAATGTTTATCCATACCACCATAAAGTGTATACGATATATGCATACATAAATATACGTAATTAATGTCACTGTAAGTGTATACGATATATGCATACATAAATATACGTAATTAATGTCACTGTATTACACCCATTCGTCTGTATAAGCAGCGTGCGTAAGTACATGATCAATCATTAGAATTTATTCAAGAATAGTAAGTGTGAAGTAAAAATTCGCATAGGAATTGGAAAAATTTGTTATCATTGCTTTTGGAAACGTCAAAAAAATGTAGAATCGAGAGTCAACCAACCTGTTTTTGCTTTGCATAATCCAAAAGTGCATCTATTTCAGCCTGTTTATACCAATTCGAGTAAAACCCTCGATTGGGCACGTCTTTACAATTCAAAATATTTAACCTTCATATAGTGTACGCATATTTTTACTCCTAAGATAATTTGTAAACAGCTAAATTGGTCATGAAGTTCATAGAATGTTGTTAAGCAAAAAACATATGAAAATTTAGACAACAAAAAATCTCGGTCCAAAATATGTATAGTACTAGCAGGTATATGCAGCTGTTTGATATAGCATATTTGTCGATTCACGTGTAGGTGAAATATTTTACAAATATTATCAACACAAGTATCAAATATATCGTCTATAATAATGCATAAATTATTATATGTTGGTTGGTATTATTTGAACTATAATTCTATATTTGAAGAGATTTATTGTTTGCATTAAAATATATATGATAGGCCACGGCAAGATTCAGTAATAAGCATCGCAAACAAATAATAGTAGTATACAATCATCAAAATGCTGAATTAAAAATTTCAAGTGGATATATTTGTATCTAAGATTTTGTGATTTTTATTGTTATCTGGTTGAAATTGTGATATAAAGAAGTATAATCTATTTTCCATGTTAGAGGGAATAGGAAATGAGATACGGTCAGGTTGGAGAAAGAGTTTGCAGCATAAACGCTTATATTGTATGTGCGATATATTGGCTCAGAGGGGGAAGAAATATGTTTGATTTGTCAGCTATTTTGTTTTGTTTTCAGGTTAGACGATTCATGCCTGACGTTTAGGGTAATGAGAGAGTTGGAGGCATTCTGGCTTGGTATGGTTAAAGCGGCTGTGGGTGTGGCTTTGCAACGGGCTCAGGCGCGTGTGATCTTGTTACGCGCTGCGTCGATGATGAGAGGCCCAGAGGCTGTTTGGGTGGAGCGGGAGGATGTTGAGGAGGAGATGGGATGGGATGCTCCGTGGGCGGATGCACCATACTTGGTAGACATGCGGGTTTAGGGAGTGGGTTTAGGGGGGGAGGTTTGGTTCGATGGGAGTGCAGTTGGGGTGCTTTGATGGGAGGGCTTGATGGTGTTTTAAATGTGTGTGCTATTGGGGTTTTCTTGGGGTTGTGTGTGCTGCTTTTTCTTCCTTCTTCCCTGTTTTTCTTCCTCCTATCATTTTTCCCCTATTCCCCTCCTTCTTTCTTCCTCTCTCCTTTTTTCTACTCACGTTATTCCTCCTTTTCTCCTCTCTTCCCGTTTCCACTCCTTTTCCTTGCGTAATTATGCTACATTGTAAAAGATAGTACCTCGATTTGAACTCTTTGAACACCCAGGTTCTGGGGCGATTTGCTGCGATAACGCGTTTTTATGTTAAATACTGTATGGTTTGGGCATAGGTTAAATACTGTAGAAGCAAGACGGCTGTTGAAATCTGTACAACTGCACGTACAGCTGAACGGTTATGTAAAAGACTGTTCAGCACACCAGAGCAAACTTGACACAGCTCGTACAGCTCACATCATCTGACTGGCATACGGAAGAGTGCAGTGATGCAATCAATGTTTAGACTTGAAAATACACGCAATGTTTAGCATGAAGTGTTGTGCATTGGCGAAATCAAACAATGTCAGCTGGATTAGCTGGTATGCTGCAATTTCGATCTTGTCATTTGAAACGAAGCTGTTTGGGCATGCGGAGACTGCAAAACGTCAATATGTGTACAGTTCACAACAAAGGATACTGTATTGGGGCTTGACGGAAGTTGGAGGTTGAGACATGAAACTGCTGGTGAACTTCATTCCCGACCACATGGAGCTCCCGAGTTTCAGTCAATTGTTTTAGTGAAGCGGGTACACTGGGCAGCCCCAGCAAGAGGGGAAGGTTGACGGCCGACGCTAAAAGCCGATTTCAAAATCCTTGATCAGCAACTCATGGCTTCGGTTTCTGTAGTTCCAGCTAAGAATACCAACCCTTACAGTACAGAACAGTATTAAATAAAGGGTGTCATGCCAGAGGCTTCCCTACACAGAACCGTGGGAACTCCACTGACTTGTTGCGCGATGGTGTTATGATAATGAGGGAGGCAGGGGGAGGGAGGGAGGCAGAAGGGAGGTAGGTAGGGGCAAGGGACTGCAGAAGGGATGACTCACCCCACGCCAATTAAACCTTCCCCTCTCCCCTTCCACCCGCCCTTTTTCCCTCCCCTCTTCCCCCCCCACCCCTTCCCTCCCACAACTCCACCCGCCACCCCTTGGAATAGAGATTTCGTACGGAACACTTCTGTTCGCCTCGGCACACCGCGCCTCGGTAAGACTTACCCTCCTGCACCGATCTGCACACCGCGCATCGTTCAACCTCCGTAATCCATCCCATCCCATACTCGCATAGCATTCACATGAAATGGATGCGCTCGGTGTTCCCTTCTTGCACTCGCGGCTGCCCTTCAGCCGCTTTCTGGTCACAAATCATTCTCTCGACTGGATTACAGTATTACAACCCTGGAAGTCGGTGCGAGTCACTGGACAACGCTCGCTTCATCACCACCGTTCCTTACACCAGCTGGGCGCAGCAACCACATCTGCCGGTGTTGTACATAGAAGTTAACCCTGCCCAGTATCGCCCTTTCGCCTGTTTCTCTCCGCCGCATTTCCCGCCGGTTTCCCTCCTTGTCCCGGCTCTTAGCTTCCAGATATACCCTGGACCTGCTTTATATAGCTCCCACTACCAAGTCCACGTCGCAGCGTTACTCCGAAGACCATCAAAAGTCAGCGAGTCCTGTCCGTTTTCCACAGCGCCACTCACAATACAGCAAAATCTGCGATTAATAAGTTATTCGCGATTCAAGCAAGCATACACTCCCACTCCGAGTCGTGCCGAATTGGCAGCTTTACACGGCTTGGTCCCAGGACGAATTCCCTCAGGTCTGAGCGCGTTGGCTGTACTGGTAACGTCCTTCACGAATGATTGGTACCGCTAGTTTTCAAATCCCCGTCATCAACAATGGCGGACTCCACAGAATAAGGATCGTTCGCAAAGGTGGCAGTAGTCGCGAGGCGGCATAGGACAGTCCGAGATTCGCATTCTTCAAAATAGCTATTTGAGCGCGGCACGCGATCTCGACCGCTGCCAGAAGCAGGCGCTGCGAGTCGCGCCTTCGCGGCAGCGCTCCCTTCTGACACCTTGTTTGAGATCTTAAACAGAGATTGAAGATAGAGCCCACTACTACGTTTGGCGATTCTCCCTGAAGCTGGCGCCTCGTCATTCAATGAAGTACCCAAAGGGCGCGGCGCGGCTGGCGCAGCGGTGTGCCGTCGCCACGTGGCTCTGTATCGTCACCGTCGCTGTTTCGTATGGAGGTACGTCTCTCGGAACATGCGTGTTTTGCTAGAAACGGCAGTCACGGGAGATGGATCTATTTTGAAGCCGCCAGAAGACGGTTCTATACTACGGGGTACTCTTTCCGCGTAATTAGCGCCAACCCGTTGCCAGCTCGCACACCGACTCGGCCGCTCCCTCTATCGCTCCGCGGGATCTCTTTCTTCCGCTTCCGAGAATTCGTGTCGTACCTGTCCCCCGAACGTGTCGCATTCTCTCCCTCTCCCCTCATCCCGTCTCTCCTTCCCCCCTCCGCCAGCGGCGGAGCCCACCGCTGTGTACATCGTGCGGTTGCGCGACCTTCCGCCGATCTCCGCGTATCGCGGCGGAATCGCCGGTTACCCCGCGACGATACCTCCTTTCGCCGCCACCACCGCCTCCGCCGCCGCTGCCGTGAAGGCCACCGCGGCGGCGTCAGGGTTGCGCAACATGCGCCAATCGCTGCGCCGGTGGTTCCGCCGGCGGAACCCAAACATCCGCCTTCCGCACGTGCAGGCGTTTGCGCGGCTTCTAGGGGAAGCGCAAGCGGCCGTCGCGAAGAAAGCGGGAATCCCGACGAACAGAATGCTGTACAGGTGAGGAATGCGCGGCTACTAGGGGAAGCACAGCGGCGGCGACCGCTGCTTAAGGAGTCCGATAGTTGCATCGAACAACTCTTTTAAGTATTCTCTAAAGCAGGTATTGTGTAATGAGGGTGAGGCAGCCGTTGCGTCGAAGCGCGGAATCTGATCCGAGCCGTCCTCCCGCCGCTTCCGACTCCTCGCGCTGCCTCTGCTCGTTTACTCTGCACTCCTGTCGCTAATGGCAACTTTGCCAAAAATGGATTCAGCAAGATCTGTCCTGAAGATCCGTTCCGCCCTTTTCCCGTCCCGCGCCAACACCCCTGCGTGCTTTCCGCCGCCCTCCACATGCTCAGTTGGTTGATTAACGCCCTCATTTCATTTCACACCCTGTTTCCCCCTTCCCCCAGCACCCCCTGATCCCGTTCTCGTAAACGTCTCATTTCCCCTCTCTCCCACACCCTTCCCCCGATCCCCCGACGCGCTCTCGTGCGGCGCAGCTACAAGTATCTGAGCAACGGATTCGCTGCAATGCTGACGGCCGCGCAAGTCGACCAGCTGCGGAAAACCGCCGCTGTGGCGGAAGTGCGGCGGAGCCTCCCCGTCCGCCCCGCGGGGCAGGTGTCCTCACCAGCTCGCCGCTTGTTAACTCCCGCCGAAGCGGGAAGCGCAGAATCAGCGGGAATAGCAATCGCGGCGGGGAAGCCCGCGCCTGGGGGGACTCCCGCGCCCGGGGGAAATCCCGCGCCCGGGGGAAAACCCCCGGGAACTCCCGGGTCTGGGGGGACGCCCGCGCCTGGGGGGACGCCCGCGCCTGGGGAGACACCCGCTCCTGGGGGGACGCCCGCGCCTGGGGGGACGCCCGCGCCTGGGGGGACGCCCGCGCCTGGGGGGATGCCCCCGCCTGTGGGGACATTCTCGCCTGGGGGAACGCCCATGCCTGGGGGGACACCCGCGCCTATGGGAAAGTCCCCGCCGCCCGCGCCTACGGGGAAGCCCGCGGATGGGGGCGGCGCGGGTGGGGGGAGCGGAAAAACGGGGACTTCACAGGACAGCCTGTTGAAGCCGCCGCTGGAGCTGTGGGCGGCAAACGGGGGGGAGGAGAGCGCGGGGGAGGACGTGATAATCGGGGTGATCGACAGCGGGATCTGGCCCGAACACCCCTCGTTCAGCGACAATGTGAGTGCAGCGCGGTGGAGTGGGTTGCGATGGGGTGTGGTTGGGTGTGGTGTTTGTTTTGGAGGGGTGATTTGGAAAGAGGGGGAGGAGGGGAAGGGGGGAAGGGGGCGTTTGATCGACTGTAATAATCTGACCCGAGCACCAGTCGATCAGCGATGCTAGTGGCATGTGAGAACGTCTCGCGCGTCTAACATACTACCATTACTAGCATGGCTACTACTTGTCGCAACAAAATCGCTGCCCGTGTCGCCTCACCACTAGCGCGCTATTAGCGCTCGCTCCCACCCCGTGCTGCTTTGACCTAAACGTCACTGCAGTTATTGTCGTCACTAGCACTCGTTCCGCCGTTTCGCGTTGCGTTCGCCTCCTGTCGTACCCTATCCGCGTTCTTTTAAAAGTTTCCGGAACCTCCTAACTGCGCCCGCCAGCAACATGAATCAGCATATTAAATTTCCTGAACCATGACTCGCATTCCCTTCACCGTTCAATCTATTCAAAATCCCCTCTCCTGCCTCTCCCTCCTCCCCCTTCCTACCTCCTTCTTCCCCCTCTCCGCGCTTCTCCCCAACCCCTCACAACCGCCTCTTCAGGACACGAACCCGTACGGCCCGCCGCCGGCCACGTGGCAGGGCAGGTGCGACGCGTCAGCGGACTTCCCCGCGTGCAACGGCAAGGTGATCGGGGCGCGCTTCTTCATCGACTCGTTCGACAACAACGGTCGCCAGCTCAACACCGCCGTTGACTTCCGCTCGCCGCGCGACGTGGACGGCCATGGCTCCTGGTGTGCTGGGTACGTACGTCGCCCACGCATTGATTTCGCTTGTATCATACATATTCTATGCCGCGAGCCATACCGCGCTCAACCGTACCGTTCGTGCTCACGTGCTTCCTATCCGCCATTCTCTGCAACCCTAACCCTGAATCCGCACATGAGGTTTACAGCATCATTTCTGAACCAAGCCTCCTCAATCTCTTGCCATGCCTCATTTCTTAATCTTCCCCCCCCCGCCCCCCGCCTCCTTCCTCCCGCCACCCCCCCTCCCGCCTCCCACCTTTCAACACCAGCGCGGCAGCAGGCAACAGCAACGTCCCCGTCGTGTCCAGCACAGGCAAGCGCTTCGGCACCGTCTCCGGCATGGCGCCGCGCGCGCGCATCGCCGTCTACAAGGTCTTCTGGCTGCAAAGAGACGGCTCACTCATCGCGGAACAAGCAGACATCGAAGCAGCAGTGAACCAAGCGGTGGAGGATGGGGTTGATGTCCTCAGCATGTCTTTTGTCAGTGACGTAGAGACCAGTTATTTCGACGACCGGATCTACCTCCGCGCGAATCAGGTCGGCGTCGTGCCGATTTTCGCCGCCGGGAACGCCGGCCCGCCGCCCGGCTACTCGGCGTATCGCACTCTGTATAATTATTCTCCGTGGTACCTCACTGTGGGGGCTGGCAACCTCGCGCAGCAGTACCAGACGCAGATCACTCTCGGGAACAAGGTGGTGGTTCTAGGCGCCGGGCTCGGCGGTAACTCAGTAACCGCAAAGGGGCTTCCGTTGATCGACGGCCGGTCTGCACCTGGGGACGTGGCGAGTCTCGACGAAGCAGAGCTGTGCTTTCCAGGCTGTCTGGACCCGGCTAAAGTAGCGGGCAAGATTGTGATGTGCCTGCGCGGCGGAGTGTATTTGTTCGAGAAGGCCCGCGTGGTGGTGGCGGCGGGCGGCCTGGGGGTTATTTTCGTGAATGACCCTACTGGGAGCTCGGACGTGTATTCGTCGGTTTCGGCAGCCACGATCCCCACGGTGCATCTTACAGCGGCACAGGGGGCAGTGATTCGCACGTACATCAAGAAAACCAAGCAGTGAGTGGTTGTGGGAGTGGCGGTGGTGGTGGCTGTGGTTGCTTGTCTGTACGGCAGTGGTTTGAGTGCATTGCGCGTTACAAGTTGTTACACAGAGGAACCAGAGCTGGGTCTGGAATCTGGATCCGGAACAAAAAACTTCCACGCGCCTTGTGTGTGAGGTGATGTTCCCTGCAGGCGTTTTGCCCTGTCCCACCAGCTTTAGGCTCATTATTCTCCTCTCCCCCTCTGCTCCCGTGCTCTTCTGCTGTGTGTCACGTCACCCGCTCAGGCCTACAGCAGCCATGGCAGCAGACTGTGTGTTCGCCAAGTCCACCATCTCCCCACCCGCCGTAGCAGCCTTCTCCTCCACAGGACCCCCTCTAGACCCCATGGCTGACTCAGTCCCAGGTGGCCCCATCAACGATATCCTCAAGCCGGACATTCTCAGCCCGGGAGTGGAGCTCTGGTCGGCCGTTGCCGGCGATGTTAACGATAAGACGAAGCCGGCGTTTGATTTGCTGTCGGGGACGTCCATGGCCACGCCGCTTGTCGCGGGGGTTGCTGCGCTGCTCGTGCAGAAATTCCCCACGTGGACGCCCGCGCAGGTCATGTCCGCGATACAGACGACTGCGAACCCGAATAACGACGCCGGGAAGCCGATCACGACGGATAAGGGGGTTGTTGCAACCCCCTGGGAGACGGGAGCGGGGACGGTGAGTGCTGCGAGGTTGGTGGATCCTGGGCTCACGTATAATGCGGGCCTGCAAGACTACATGAATTTTCTGGCCGGGCAGAGCAAGTACAGGACCTCGGTGTTGTGGCCTAAGGAAGTGGTGACTCCCACTCCCGCGTACAATTTGAACCTTCCGGCGTTGGTGTTTTCTCGGGTGAACGGCACGCGGGTTGCCGTGCGGACTGTGATCAACGTTGCTACAAGTGCGTCGACGTATAAAGCCAAGGTGGTACCTCCTGCTGGGGTGCAAGTTACCGTTTTTCCAAGCCAGTTCTCTGTGAACCCTGGAGAATCCAAGACTTTCACAGTGACCGTGTTGATTTCCAAGCCTTCTACAAAGTTTGCCTTTGGAAGCTTGACATGGGAGGATGAGCTGGGGCATAAGGTGCGCTCTGTGTTGGCCGTGCAATCACGCCTTGTGCTGAAGAAGAAATAGGATGTGTTGCTTTGATTAGTCAATAATATGCTTCAACCTTGTAGTATATCATTCATTATATTCATTTGGTTAGATGGTGTTTCCAGGTTTATGGGGTCTGATAATTGCGATACTGTACCCTGAACTTTCGTGCACTATCGAACCCACCTGAGCCCTTCTGTGACAGGGAACCTGGAACCGCGCCACGCAAACAGTATTCACCTGATATGGAAGCTCAACTGTAGTTGGTGTTTGGTGGCAGTGCTGCCAGGCTGGATACAAGCACAAACCAAGGATGGGGGAGCAGCTCTTTGATTCTACAGTAAAAAACTGTAGGTTACCGTACGGTAAAAGGATACACGCGATCCTGCACTCGATGGACAGGATTCCGTTTCGGGGTAGAGTGGTGGAGTGGATTTCGGTGGGATTGGGTGGGAACGCAAGGCTGAGAATCTGTTGGTCATCAAGGGGAGTGGCGGGGAGGACAAGGAATGAAGCGCAACAAAACGCAAAATCCGGAGGAAAACGACAGGAATTAACGGCGGCGGAGTTGGTGATGGGAGGCGCAGGGGGAAAAGCAGGTCCAACTGGGGAAAAGACTGTTGTGGTGGGTCTACAGATTGACGAAGTTAAATTCGGTTGAGCACGATGTAGATGGTGCGGTGCGGTATGGGACGGAGAAGGAAATGCATGGGGGAAAGGACAACAGAAATTTTGGAATTCCAGCTTTCATTGTGGGTGGGCCGGGGGAAGAGGGAGGGAGGAGGCGGAATTGGGGGAATGTTGGATGCCACTCGCGTGAGAGATGGATGCTTTGCCTCATGCCAGCTGCAACCTGGCCCCCAGCCCAGACGGCTACGGTAACACGCAAACAGCTGGTTCACGAAGCTGTTGGAGAGAGGGTGGCGGCGACAGGAGGGAAGGGAGAAACGGGGGGGATGGGATGGGAAGGGGGAGGTGCAGCAGCGCAAACTGTATCTGACTGTGCGGTACACATGTCCCAGGGCCTTGCTCAGGTCAGGGTTGGGTGTCACTCGCATGGCATGGCATCTGTGTGAATCCATCTGCTGTATGCCCCTCCGCGCTCTGCGCCGCAGTGGTGTTGTGAGTTCCCTCACGTCCTTCGGCTCCTCACTTTCACACCCCATCGCTCTCTCGCCCCTCGCGCTGTACAGTACATTGTTCTTCCTAGAGCACCGTACTGCACCCGACGCTCCCACCTTCCACCTCCGTCTTATGCGGCTGGGAGGCGTCGCGGGCCCACCTCTAGCCTACGCGTCGTCCAATCCAAGCGTGTACCGCGGAAAATCAGAGCTGCTTCTAATCAAACCTAATCTCAGCGCTTTAGAACAGTACATTCATCACAAGCACATCCGCCTTTCCAACTCTATATAGCTGCCGCAGCGGCTGACATCCAACAACCATCCTCCCAGTTGCGGAGAATGCGGCCGTCACCGTTGCTGCCTTTGTAAAGTGAACCCGAAGCGCACTACTCCATTCCCAATTCCACTCTTGCCGGCGGTAGTAGGGAATCTCTGGTTGTCTCCAGCCAGTCGACCAGTGCACTCGCGCGCCTTGTTACCAGTCAACGCGAAAGCGAGTTTCGTCAAGATTCGCAAGGAGGAAAAGACAGTGGAAAAAAAAACTCACGCGAAGGCTCTTATTCCTAATCTGTACCGCCATACGCACTGCATCATCGTTCAATCCTCACCCTTTAGTTCTACGCTGCGTAGCGTCCCCCCGTCGCTCTCGCCGCGTTGCTTCAACGACATTGCGTCTACCCACCCGCTCCATCCTAGCGGTTCCACTCATCCTCCGCTGAATCCTCCCGTCGAATCCTCCCGTTAAAATCTGCTCAAACGGAATCCGTCCGTTGAAAACCGTCTCCTGAGCACATTCATTAGATTCACTCAAGATACGACTTCGACTCGAACCCGTCATGGCTCCTCCACCACCGTCGCGCGCGCCCCGCTTTCGCCGTCGTACTCCTGGCCTTGTCTCGCTGCCCCTCCTCCTCCCCCTCCTCCTCGCCTGCTCGCTCGTACGGCTGCGCACCGCTGTGTCCCAACAAGGTACCGCCTCCCTCACCTCTTCCCTTCCCCCCTACCCATCCCTCTTCCTGCCCTTCCCTCTCCACTCCCCCCCCCCCCCCTTCTCCCCACTTCCCTTACCCCTGCATCACCCCACCGTTTCCCGCTTCGTCCCCATTCCGCCGTCCCCATTCCCCTTACCTCCTCCACCTTCGAGAATCCCCTTCCCTTCCCTCATTCAGCTTCCCCCTCCTTCGTCTTCTTTTCGTGCCGTAGCCAGCAACCTAGACACCCATCGCTTTATCTCCTTCCACCCCCAGGGTCATCACCTACCTCCTTGCCTCCTTAATTCCTCCTTTTGAGTCGACTCAAAAATCTCCTTCCACCCCCAGGTCATCACCTACCTCCTTGCCTCCTTAATTCCTCCTTTCCCCCTCGCCTCACCTCCTCCGCGCTTCTCGTTCTTCTCAAATTCACGTCCTCTCTTCAATCCCCCTTTTTCCCCTTCCCTCCCCCCCCCACCCCCCACCCTCCCCTCCCCCCTCCCCCCACGCCCCCACGACTCGTCGCTCCGCCGACGTTCCGCCTCCCTCCTTCAGACGATATTATATCTTTCTCGCCGTCGCAATCCTCACAATCCTCCTCCGCCTCCACTTACCTCTATAAAGTATACCTCAACTCCGCGCCGCCCGTCTCCCTGTATCGCGGCGGAATCGCCGGCTATCCCGCCACCGCGGGGGTGTCCGACGCGCTCTCGGGCATCGCGGGGGGAATGCGCGGCGCCGCGCGCCGCGCGCGGCAGCAGATGCGGCGAGGGCCGCTGCGCGACTTCGCCAAGTTTCTCGGGCAGGTTCAGAAGAAGGTCGCCGAGGACGTCAAGCTGCCCATGTCCAAAGTTCTCTACAGGTGCTGACCGCAGTGCAAACCGCAATGCGAACCGCAATGCGAACCGCAGTGCGAACCGCAGTGCGAACCGCAATGCGAACCGCAATGCGAACCGCAATGCGAACCGCAATGCGAACCGCAGTGCGAACCGCAATGCGAACCGCAATGAGAACCGCAGTGCGAACCGCAAAGCGAACCGCAATGAGAACCGCAGTGCGAACCGCAAAGCGAACCGCAATGAGAACCGCAGTGCGAACCGCAATGCGAACCGCAATGAGAACCGCAGTGCGAACCGCAATGCGAACTATGAACCTGGATCAGTGCGATCCTTAGTGCGAAGCGCTGTGCGGATGACGTGTAATCTCCGCTCAGATTCTAACCTCATTTCTCTCTCTATCCCATCTGACTGTGCTCATTCTCCCGCCGTCTTTCCCTCCCGTCCTCCACTCGGCCTCACCACGACACTCCAACTACCCTTCCAAGTTCCCGCTACTCTCCAATTTCCTTCCGAGTTTCCTTCCAAGTCTCCCTTGTCACACTCCAGACTTCTGTCCAAATCTCACTCCCTTCTCTCACCTACCCATCCTCCCCCTTCCGCTCCTCTCCCCTCCCCTCTCCTGCTCCCCCTTTCCATCCCCTCGCGCTCCTCCACCCCTCCCCTTCCCCGTTTCCCTTCCCCTCCCCCTCCCCCTCCACCTCACCCCCCGCAGCTACAAGTACGTGAGCAACGGCTTCGCGGCGCGGCTGACGCTGAAGCAGGTGCAGCAGCTGCGGCGGCACCCGCAAGTGGCGGCGGTGCGCGCGAGCCGCCGCATAGTCGCGTCCACCACGCACTCGCCCGCGTTCCTCAACCTCCCCGGAACGCTGTGGCGCGCGAATGGCGGCGTGCAGAGCGCGGGGGAGGACGTGATCATCGGGGTGATCGACAGCGGGATCTGGCCCGAACACCCCTCGTTCAGCGACAATGTGAGTGCAGTGCGGTCAAGTGGGGCGCGATGGGGTGTGGTTGGGTGTGGCGTTTCGCGAGGGTGATGCTGGGTGGGGTGGAATGTACCGCTGTTGGGAGTGGTGTGGTTCAATGGGGTTGGATGTGGCACTGAGTTCCTTTATTTCCCTCCTTTCGCATTCCTGTCTCCACTCTTCCTTCTTCCTCCACCCTCCCTCCCCGCCAACCCTCCCCTCACCTCCCCCTCTCCTCACCCCTCCCCCCCCTTCGTCCACCCGCCTTTCCCCCGCCTTTCCCCTTCCCTCAGGGCACCCAACCATACGCCGCGCCCCCAGCGCGGTGGGCGGGGCGGTGCGAGGCGACCAAGGACTTCCGCCAGTGCGGGCGCAAGATCATCGGCGCGCGCTTCTTCGCCTGCTGCGGCGTCGACACCACCATCGAGTACTGGAGCGCACGTGACGCCGCTGGCCATGGCTCTTGGTGTGCGGGGTAAGACCTTTGAGAAGAAAGGGGGAAGGGAGGGAGGGAGGGGGAGGGAGAAGGAGAGGGAGGGATGGTCTGGGTGGGTGGGTCGACACCACCATCGAGTACTTCAGCGCCCACGACGCCGCCGGTCACGGCTCCTGGTGTGCGGGGTAAGGTCTTTGAGAAGGGGGGAGGGAGGGAGGGAGGGAGGGAGGGAGGGAGGGAGGGAGGGAGGGAGGGAGGGAGGGAGAAGGAGAGGATGGGTGGGATGGAGAGAGAGAGGGATGGTTTGGATGGATGGGTGGGCATGGGGAGATTGGGAGGAAGATAGCAGCGTTGTGAGACAACGGGCGGGCAACAACGGGGTGATGGTCACAGGTCCCACCGGCGCCACCTTTGGCACAGCGAGCACTTTGCTTTGAGACGCCTCAGGAAAAATCTCTGTTCTCCCCGCACCTTCCCCCTCCCTTTCCCCGCCGTGGCCCCGACCCTCCCCGCCCTGCCCTTTCCCTCCCACCAGAGCGGCAGCGGGCAACAACGGGGTGATGGTCACGGGTCCCACCGGCGCCACCTTTGGCGCGGCCAGCGGCATGGCTCCGCGCGCGCGCCTGGCCATCTACAAGGCTCTCTGGCGGCGGCGCCACAGTATCGATGCCCACTTCACTTCCCCACTCCCCCTCCTCCTTCCTTTCCACCCATCCCTTCCCCCTCTCCTCCCTCTCCTCCCCCTCCTCCCCTCCCCCTCTCCTCCCCCTCCTCCCCCCCCTCCCCCCCATCTCCTTCTTCCCTCCCACCAGAGCTGCGGCGGGCAACAACGGGGTGATGGTCACAGGTCCCACCGGCGCCACCTTCGGAGCAGCCAGCGGCATGGCTCCACGCGCGCGCCTGGCCATCTACAAGGCTCTGTGGAAGGGCGCGGATGGGAGCGCGGCGGGGGAGACGGTGGACATAGAGGCGGCTATAGACGCGGCTGTGGCGGACGGGGTGGATGTGCTGAGCATGTCGTTTGGTGATCTGGGCATGGAGGCCACTTATTTCAGTGACGGCGCACTGCTGAATGCGGTGCAGGTGGGTGCGGCACAATCGGGTGCGGTGCTGGTGGGTGCCTGCCGAGGAGTGTGTGGGTGCATGGTTTGGCTTGTGTTTTGGTGGTTGGGTGGGTGGGTGGGTCGTTGGGGGACTGCGGTGCATGTGGGTGCAGTGAGGGGTGTGTGCGGCTGCACGTTGGGGGATTAGAGGGGAGACGGTGGACATAGAGGCGGCCATAGACGCGGCTGTGGCGGACGGTGTGGATGTGCTGAGCATGTCGTTTGGCGATCTGGGCATGGAGGCCACTTATTTCAGCGATGGCGCGCTGCTGAATGCTGTGCAGGTGGGTGCGGTGCGGTTGGTTGTAGTGCTGGTGGGCGTTGGGGGGTGTGTGTTGTGTTGGGGGTGCGTTGGGGGGGCTGTGTAGAGTTGGGGGTGTGTGTAGGTGGGTGGGCGGGCGGGTGGGTCTTTACAAGTCACTCACACCGCATGTATCCCACACTCTCGCTCCATCAACCCACCTCAACCCCCATCTTCGTGTCACTCCTCACCTCACTCTCTCTCTCTCTTCTCCTTCCTCTCATTCCTCTTCTCCTCCCCCTTCCCTTTCTTCCCTTCTCTCTGCCTCTTCCTCCCACCCGCTCCCCCGTCCTCTCTCCGCCCCGCTTCCCCTCTCTCTCCCCCTCTCATGCAGGCAAACGTGGTGCTGGTGATGGCGGCGGGTAACGAGGGCCCTCCCCCCACCTACTACAACTACCGCTCGCTCACCAACGTCTCGCCCTTCTACCTCACTGTCGGCGCCAGGTACGCTCCCCTCTCCAATCTCTTGCTTGCCCTTTGCTCTTCTCTCCCTCCTGCTTTAACCCCCTCCAATTCTCCCTCACCAACGTCTCGCCCTTCTACCTCACTGTTGGCGCCAAGTACGCTTCCCTCTCCCCTCCTCCCCGTCTTGCTTGCCCTCCCTCCCCCCTCCTGCTTTATCCCTCCGCCCTTTTCTTCACCCCCTTCCCTCACTCTCTCACCCTTCTATCTCACCCTTCTATCTCACTGTCGGCGCTAGGTATGTGCAGAGCGCATGCATACGTAATGCATACATATTATGCATGTGCATTATGCATACAGATAATCCATGCATATGATGCATACATATAGTACGCACGTACTTCGCATCCAACTTGCACACCACTGAGTCTTCGTCTCTCTTCCTTGCCTACTTATTCCCCTCCCCCTCCTCCCTCTCCGCCCCTCGCTCCGTCTTCCTCCCATCCCTCCATTTCGCCCCATCCCTGCGTCTCCACGTCTCCCTCCCCTTCTTCACAGCACCATCAAGGGCGTGGGGGTGGGCGTGGGGGTGGGGATGGGGGTGGGGATGGGGGTGGGGATGGGGGTGGGGATGGGGTTGGTGGTGGGTGTGGACATGCTATCTTCCCCACTCACAACCTTCCTCACTCCCTGCCTTCCTGCCCCTCTCTGCCTCCTCCCCTCCCCTCCCCTCCCCTCCCCTCCCCTCCCCTCCCCTCCCCTCCCCTCCCCTCCCCTCCCCTCCCCTCCCCTCCCCTCCCCTCCCCTCCCCCCCACAGCACCATCGGGCGCCAGTACCGCACGCAGCTGCTGCTGGGGAACGGCGTGGCGATCAAGGGCGTGGGGGTGGGGGGCACAGCGGAGACAGCCGCAGGGCTGGGAATCATTTCAGGCGGACAAGCCGTGGTGGATGGGGGGGATGTGGCCAAGGTGAGGAGCAAGGGGGGGAATGGGGAAGGGAAGAGAGGTATGCGGTAGGGGGGATGTGTAGAGTGCGCGAGTGAGTGGCGGGATAGGAGTGTGAGACAACAACCAGGCCTTGGTGGATGGGGGGGACGTGGGCAAGGTGAGGGGGAAGGAAGGGAATGGGAAAGGTGAGGGGAGGTAGGGGGGTCGTGGGGAATGCAAGAGTGAGTGGCTTGATTGGGATGTGAGGTGAGACAGCAGCAGGGGATCATGTCTGGCTGGGGATCATGTCTGGCTGGGGATCATGTCTGGCGGACAATCCGTGGTGCTCTGTTGACCCTGCCCGAAGCAACCAAACGAATTATCGCGTACAGCCGTGCCAATTCCACACCATCCTCCTCTCTCACCCTCTCTTGCTCAACCCTCCTCCCTCTCCCACCCCCTCCCTGTTCCCAACAGGCGCAGCAGTGTTTTGACACCATGCTGGATCCAACCAAGGTGGCCGGCAAGATCGTGGTGTGCGACCGGGGAGTCACCTCCATCCTCTCCAAGGTCACCGTCGTGGCCTCGCTGGGCGGCAAGGCCATGGTGCTGGCGAACGTGGCGAACAGCCCGTCAACCACGGTGGAGCTGGTGGAGGGGGCGACTATCCCCACGCTGCATGTGTCTCTGGAGCAGGCGGGGGATATCATGGACTATGTGCAAAGCGACCCCAGGTGAGAGCGTTGAGGGTGGGGGGGGTGTCTATGATAGTTTTCAGGGGGCTGATGAGGTAGGGGGGAGGGAAGAGGAGCAGGCGTGCAGGTGCGTGTGGGTGGGGTGGGGGGAGGAGGGAGGTGGGGGTGTGGTTGGCGTAGGGGTGTGGGGAGAGGGAAATGTGTGCGCCCGCTACGAACGTGGCGGGCAGCCTGTCCACCACGGTGGAGCTGGTGGAGTGGGCGACTATCCCCACGCTGCATGTTTCCCTGGAGCAGGCCTATCTTTCCAGCGATCCCAGGTGAGAGCGGTGAGGAAAAAGGCGATATCATGGACTATGTGCTAGGCGATCCCAGTCCAATTCGAAACCAGGTGAGCGGGCTCTGAGACGTTCCAACGGCTGGGTGGGAGGGTGGGGAAGGAGAGATGAAGCGTGTGTGTGATTGTCATGAAATCCGAACAGACATGATTTAAAAACTGACTCAACTGCCTTCTCATGTCGATACAGACAGTTACCAGTTGAGTGCGACTAAACCGTCCCCCCTCCTCCCTTCGATTCCTCCCCTCGCTCCCCCATCATCCCTCTCCCAGCCCCACAGCCTCTCTCGCAGTAGCAGCAGAGCCAGCAGTGGCAGCCACGCCCGCACCTTCCGTGGCCTACTTCTCCTCCACGGGTCCGGTAGCCGAGCCCTCCTCAACCCCGCGCAAGCCCTTCCCCACCAACGACATCCTCAAGCCCGACCTCATCGCCCCGGGCTTCAACCTCTGGGCCGCTTCACCCGGGGCCGGATTCTCTCCTCTCCGGTGATTGTATGCGTGGCTTAACCCTCCTCTCTCCCTGCTTCCTTTCATTCCCTCCATCCCCTGCCTTCGATCCCTCCCCTCCCTTCCCCAGCCCCACAGCCACTTTGGCCGTAACAGCGGAGCCAGCAGTGGCAGCCACACCCGCGCCCTCAGTCGCCTACTTCTCCTCCACAGGCCCGGTAGCCGAGCCCTCCTCCACCCCACGCAAGCCCTTCCCCACCAACGACATCCTCAAGCCCGACCTCATCGCCCCGGGCTTCAACCTCTGGGCCACTTCACCCGGGGCCGGATTCTCTCCCCTCCAGATGTGCTGTTTGTATGGTTGACTAAACGCTCCACTCCCCTCTCTTCCCTGCCTCCCCTGCCTCCCCTCCCTCCCCTCCCTTCCCCAGCCCCACAGCCTCTCTCGCAGTAGCAGCAGAGCCAGCAACCACAGCCACACCAGCGCCCTCAGTCGCCTACTTCTCCTCCACGGGCCCGGTAGCAGAGCCCTCGTCAACCCCACGCAAGCCCTTCCCCACCAACGACATCCTCAAGCCCGACCTCATCGCTCCGGGCTTCAACCTCTGGGCCGCCTTTGCCGGCGCCAGCCTCGCGACAAAATCCGTGCCGGTGTTTTCTCTCCTGTCTGGGACATCCATGGCTACGCCGCACGTGGCTGGGATCGCCGCGCTGATTGTCCAGGCGCATCCGGAGTGGTCTCCCGCGCAGGTCATGTCGGCCATTCTCACCACGGCCAGCACGAGCAACACTGCCGGAGGCCCGATTTTGAATAGTATTGGCCAGCCGGCTACTCCGTGGGATATGGGAGCAGGGCATGTGAACCCTGCGGGAGTGCTCGATCCGGGGTTGACGTTCGATGCGAGTTATTCGGATTACCTATCCTTTCTCAGCGGCCAAGGAGGGAAGGTTTCGATGAAGAGTCTCGGGCTGGGGAAAGCAGCTCCCAAGGGGTTGAAAGCGATACCCGGGTATAACCTCAACCGCCCGACGATCTCCGTCTCACGCCTGGTGAAAACCGTGACCGTGATCCGCTTTGTGACGAACGTTGCCGGTGTAAGCTCGACGTATACAGCTCGGGTGGTCCCTCCGGTGAATGTGAAAGTGGTTGTGAAGCCGACGGTGCTGGTGGTGGGTGCGGGTAAGACGGCGAATTTTACCGTGCAGTTTACTGTGACGAAGGCGTCGCAGGAGTTTTCGTTCGGGAGCCTGTTCTGGGAGGATGGGGCTGGGCACGTGGTGCGGTCGGTGCTTGCCGTGCAGCCGATCAAGAAGTAAAACAGGTGCGGAGCGAGAGAGAAGTGAGACAAGCGAGACAAGTGAGAGAAGAACCGTCTGGACAAGTGAGACGAGACTAGACAAGTGCTTTGCGTGACATCTGACGAGTTGACGAGGCGTTTCGTCAGAGGGCTTGAAACATGGCGTGCCGTTGGTGCTGGCTGGCGCTTGCACTGCAGGAGCGGGCCTGTGGGAATCACATGTGGTTGTTGAAGCGTGAAGTGTGTCCAGCTGTGCTGTATGGGTCGTGTTGGGTTGAGTTGAGTGCTTGCTGTTGGGGAGGAAATTGGGAGTGGGGTGGGGGGGGGCAAGGGGAATGGGGAGGGGAGGGGGGTGCAAAGGAGTTGCGGAATACCAGAATGGTCGCTGCTGCTCTCATACTCAATACCAGAATCTCCAGGCCAGACCGTACTGTTTACTTCAGGCTCCAAACTCCTCCTGGTTCACACCCATCTCATTTTTGAAGGATCATACCATAATCGTTCTCACATGATTCAACGGAGGATGTTGTGTTCTGTTCTGTATGTACCACAGCACTAGCTTCATCAGAAGCTGTGCTGCTGGGACCATGCAGGTGTATGATAGTTCTCTTTTCTTCGTAGCCTGTGTTTCTGTTTCCTTGCTTGGGACGGTTTCAAGGGCACCGCATCAACTGTTGCTGTTGATTTTTTCATTGATTTTTATTGGTATTTTGTGTTTTCATCGTGTGTTCTGTTTTCATGCCACATGGGCTAAATTGTGATGAATTTCAAGTGTGTGTGTGGCATTGTCACCTCTACGGTATTTATGCAGTACCCTCTTCTTGAGACACACACCGCGCAAATGCCAGTGTCCTATGCCAGTACAGTACTACCCACAAGCATAGCACATGGCAGTTGGTAACCTGAAAACAGCATTGCTTACAGGGCGCATATACCGCAACCAAATCTTACTACAGTAGCAGGCGTAATCACCACTGCATAAACCTGGTATTTACTACCAAATACCAAAAATGCCCCACCCACCCACCTCACCCAACACAAACCAGCAGCAGCAGGCTGGCAGCCACTACCGTCAGCTGCTGCCCTTCGACTAACATCACTGATAGCCACACCACAAGCTAGTCCAATCCCTGAGGTGACTTTTGAGTCAGACTCAAAAGACAGCGGCAGCCACTACCGTCAGCTGCTGCCCTTTACTAACATCACTGACAACCACACCACATGCTAGCCCCCTCCCTGACAAAACCGCTCGCACAGCAACCTGAAAATCCCATGCCATGAGCCAGGGGCTTCTTGGTAAACCGCTCACTCTCCTGAAAATCCTTTGCCACCCAAAGGGAGAGAGAAACCCTTTTCCCAAGGCCCGTGGCGCCTTGGAATTCAGGAATCATCGCAGCGCAGCAGCTACGGTAACTCTGGCCCTGAGCCTTGGGTTTCTTGGACAGCTCGCTCTCTTTATACGACAATCTTTAGCCACAACAAACCCCGAGGCCCACATGTATCATTTCTCAAGCGCCCCGGGAATCGTCTCAGGCTCGTCTAACTCTGCCCCTGAGCCTTGGGTTTCTTAGATAGCTCGCTCTCCTTATAATCCTTCGCCACCACAAACCCAGGACCCACGTGACAGTCAACCACGCTCGTGCGCTCCTGCATAAGCACATTGCTGCTCACCACCGACCCCTGCACCAGGCACCCGTCGCCTATAGTCACATGGTCCATAATCACGGAGTTTACCAGCTTCACATGCGCTCCAATCCGGCAGTGCCGCCCAATTATAGATCTCTTAATGCTGCTCTTCTCTCCCACAGAGGTCCCCTCACCCACCATACAATGCGGGCCTATCGTCGCCTTTGCAGCAAGAGTCACGCTCTCATGCACCGCGGCAGCTGCTGCTTTTCCAGCCGCTGCGCCCCCTCCCCCCGCGCCACCGCCCCCTGCGCCCGCGCCTGCGCCTGTTGCAGCAGCAGCGGCGGCGGCGGCGGCGGAATCAGCGCCTGAGGCGGCGGCGGGTGAGGGAGTGAGGAGGCCTGGGCGGGAGGCGACGGCATGGTTAAGCTCTACGTACGATTGAAGGCTGTCTATTGAGAACCAGAACGTCCCCTTCTTCGCCACGAAAGCTCTGCTTCCGTTTCCGCTGCTGTGGCCAGTGCCGCTGCTATTGATGAGTTCAAAATCCCCTACGCTACCACTGTTTGCAAGCATAATCCCTCTGCCTCCTCCCCCTCCTCCTCCTCCTCCTGCTGCAGCTGTTGCTCCTCTTCCTATTCCGCTGCCACTAGCGCCACCACCACCGCTGCTGATGCCACTCGCACCGTCACCGCCGCCGCCGCCGCCGCCGCCGCCGCCGCTGCCGCCACCGCTTCCCTCCGCATCTCCACCGACGCTCCCCCCTCTGCCTGTTCCTAGCACGTCCCTGGATCCGCTGACCCCGCCGCCAGATGCAGCGGCGGCGGAAGCTGCAGGCGACACGAGCCCGTTGGCTGCCGCGGCGAACGGCAGGCCGGCAGACGGCGGGAGGAGCGACGCGAGGAGCAGCTGCCGGCGCGGCTGCAGATCGCGCACGAACGCCGGCAGGACGTCGCGTCGCAGGCAGGACAAGCCGGATTGCGACACGAGAAAATTCTGGAGAGCGGTGCGGCGAAACGCGTAAACTCGCGAGTCGATTAAATCCGTGCATAAGTCCACGCGCCCCTCCGTCTCTAGGAGGGCTCGGCTAAGCGAAGTCTGACGTGGAGCGCTGCCGGCGGAGTTAGAGCCTGGTTGGAAGATCAGGAGGCGCTTCCCCGACGCGTCCAATCCGACCAAATCTAGACTGACAGCGGTGCTCTTTCCGCCAGATTTGCCGCCCGCGTCGCTTTTCCCGCCGCCTCCGCCGCCGCTGGCTCCTCCCTTCTTCCCCTTGTCTCCGGACCTGGCGTCTCCTCCGGTTCCGCCAGCGCCGCCGGCGCCGTCTGATCCGCCGGCTAAACCATCTCGGTCGTTAAAGACGACCGTCAGAGCGGCGTCTTCCCGCCGGTGAGCGGCGGCTACGGAGCCTAACGGGACGTCCGTCAGGACGTCTGCAAAGAGCACGAGGAGATCGTGGACGTCGGCGATGCGGTGGAAGATGCTCCGAAGCGCATCGGCAGATCCGACGGCTTCGGAGACGACGGCGATCTCGAGACCGGGCAGCCGTTCGTGAAAATTTTGAGCTACCCAGCCGGAGATTCGAGACGCGGCTGCTGAGTCAGCACCGACGATGACGAGAAGGACGGATTGCACGTTGCAAGATTCGAGGAGCTCGAGGTTGTAGGAAAGAAGAGGGTGGCCTCCCACTGGGAGGAGGACACGTGGCAGCTCATCCGACGTGAGCGGATAGAGCTGATTGTCGTCAGTCGGGATAATGAGAACGGCCTGGAAGGTTCGTGGGCCACCCATTCGCGACAACGGTACCTAGGCGTCAGACTAATTTGCCACCGGGATGCTTGCCGCGTTAGCGCGGCCTAAAAAGGAACTGTGCCTGGATACACGGGCATGGGGCTTTGGCTACTAATGCCCTAACCCCAGCGGACATATGAGCCCAGCGGAGCTCGCCGCTGGTGGCGAGCACAGCCTCATCACCATAACTTCGCTACTACCTTCGCATTTCGGCGTTGTAGGGATCCCAACTGTGTACATCGAAACATTATATCTACATAGAAAATACTAGCTAGATGCCACATTCAAATCAGACTATCTCGTGCTGGCCTGTTTCCAAAATCAGTACTTTTTGAAGTATCAGATAATAATTGATTACTTCTTGATGTAAAATTGTACATCAAGAATCAGTATTGTACATGTACAAGTGCACTGCGTAATGGGATTGTACTGAAAAAACAGAAAATATATGTATTAAAATGTGACTTCTGTTGAGGAAATTTTTAAATGTTTAACGTAGAAAATATAGCTCGCTTAACAATTGCACGTTCAACTTATTATCAAACATGAGAGCAAAAAGTAGTCCTTCAGGATCCTATGTTGAGTATATTAAATTTCCAGTACAGTGTTCTACACTGCACAAGAAACAAACCTTGGTCTACCCTTTTGATATCCTTGATTTGTTGCGGTGCACTTCTCAAGGTACCAGTTCATCTTTCAATTACAGAATTTGAAGTTGTACAAAGTTGTAGCTGGATGGCCCGGTTCGAGCAGAAAGCAAGGTTGGAGTTTCCATTAGCGACCTCTATCTCCGAGCGGGCCCTTTTGTCGAAGCTTTGGCTTCCGAGCGGGGCTCGAGGCAAGGGGATCCATTGGGTCCGTTTCTGTTCGCGTTCACACAGCAGCTGGTTATGGAACCAACCAAAATGGAGTACGCCGACTTACTCTTCCTCAGCTATGCTGACGATACGTATATCCTGGGGCCTAGGGAACGGGTTCTAGCAGCCTATGAGGCCTTGCGGGAACGACTGGACGGGCTGGGTTTGGAGGTGCAGCCGCATAAGTGTAAGCTATGGGAGCGAGGGAGGGACCAGGATGGGGAGGAGAGAAATGAGACTGTCCCGCCCGGCATGCAGCAGACATGGACGGGGCTCACTGTGGTAGGGGTGCCCATTGGGGAGGAGGACTGGGAGGTGGCTAGCCTGCGTCGCCGGCTGACGGAGCTGCATGCACCTGTCCCCTGGCTTCCTCTGCTTGACCACCCACAGATTGCGTCCCATTTGTTGGCGATCGCAGTGTCGGCGCGCCCGATCTACCTCACACGGACGATGCCTCCACGACCTGAGGTTGTGGAGGCTTTTCGGGACTGGGACACGAAGCTGGAAGATTGTTTCGAGGAGCTGTTTCCAGATAGTACCTGGGATCACGATTCGGGGAAGTCCCAGATGGCTCGTTTACAGCTGCACCTTCCTGCCAGACTCGGGGGGTTCGGCATTCGATCTGCGGCTGACCTTAGTCCTCTGTCGTATGCATGTGGCTGGTGCCAAGCAGTGAGCGATGTGGCTCGGTTGGGGGTGGCAGGTGAGGAGCGGATGTTTGAGGAGTTTTTCCGCACGCCCGAGGCTACGACCTTGTTGGACCCCTGGTTTGCGAGAGCAGTGGATCTGCTTCCACAGTCGGTTCGGCAGGAGATGCCACCCCTTGCCTTGTGCACCGCTGATCCGCCTATGCTGCTCTTCCCCACACAACACCGTCGCCTGGCGGTTGAGAGCCTCCAATCTCTTCGAGGCATGGCCCACAACGATGCCACCCTGGCCCGTTTGACATCCCTTCAGGGCCCGGGGGCTGGGGCGTGGGTTTCTGCCGTTCCTTCGCACGAGGAGGCTACCTTCACCGCAGCCGAGTGGAGCATCTGCGCGTCCATGCGCCTAGGCCTCCCTATTCAGCAGCTGATAGTGGCCGGCAAGTGCGCGTGTGGGTTTGAGTTTGCTGATCCCTCTGACCCGCATCATGCCCTTCGCTGCAAGTATCAGTATGCACCTTCTCGGGTTCACGATGCGGTTAAATTTGTGGTGGCGAAGATAGCTAAGGGTGCGGGTGGGATTGTGACCATGGAAGACGACACGTTGCTCCCAGGGAAGAGGGTTGATGTGGCGGTTCGGAAACTGAGGGAGGGGGAGGAGCACGCGCTGGAGGTTAGTGTGGTAGATCCTATCTCGCTATCCGCGCAGCACCATGGACAGATTGGTCGCAAGGTGGGTTTTGCCGCGAGAGAGAGAGAAAAGCGGAAGACGGCGGACTACAAATCGCTTCTACAGCGGCATGGGGGAGTGCAGTTCACACCACTCATTGCTGAGACATGGGGATGCTTGGGGGGGAGTTTTGGACGGTGGCTTAAGAAGCAGGGTGACGCGCAGATCGAGATAGCAAAGACGAAAGGGGCGGCGCGAGCTACGGGAAAGGGTTTCTCGGCTTATTTGCTCGGATCGCTCAAAGCGGCTGTGGGTGTGGCTTTGCAACGGGCTCAGGCGCGTGTGATCTTGTTACGCGCTGCGTCGATGATGAGAGGCCCAGAGGCTGTTTGGGTGGAGCGGGAGGATGTTGAGGAGGAGATGGGATGGGATGCTCCGTGGGCGGATGCACCATACTTGGTAGACATGCGGGTTTAGGGAGTGGGTTTAGGGGGGGAGGTTTGGTTCGATGGGAGTGCAGTTGGGGTGCTTTGATGGGAGGGCTTGATGGTGTTTTAAATGTGTGTGCTATTGGGGTTTTCTTGGGGTTGTGTGTGCTACTTTTTCTTCCTTCTTCCCTGTTTTTCTTCCTCCAAAAAAAAAAAAAGAAAAAGGAAATATCGTATCTGTCAAGGCAGCTGCCTTCAATTCGCGACACATTTCAAGTCCACAACTATATTTTCTGTTGCACTGCACACATTTTCTTGTGGCCCCTTGTCTGCTTTGCTCGTGATGAATCATCCTGTTGGCAAACCTTGAAGTTCAGGGCTGGGAGTCTGAAACGTGGAGCTTGGCAGCTCGTTCCACCTTGAACTTGGTTTCACCTTTTGGGAAGGATTTTCGGAATGGTTTTTGGGGAAGAATCGGGACGGGTGGCGATAAAGTCCTTGAACAAATCAAGCTGACCTGTCGCTGAACAAATCTCGAGGGCTCGTCGTGGCCTGTGGGATGGGGAGGATTTAGGGCGCTTCACCTCGGGGCCGGAAGGCCCAAATCCGAACAGACGTATCAGTTTTACTGTACGAACAGCCCCCCAAGTGGTGTCGAACACAAATTCGTGCAATGTGCGAATGTGACAACCGTGCATAGCAGGTGACGCCATCGCTATTCGCACACGCTGTCTGTTCGAACACAGCGACGTCGTCCACGAACGAGCGACGTCGCAACACATTGTCGTATACATTCGTGTGCGACACGGAAGACTTTTGACCAATCAAATCAGTCGTTTGTGCGGAATTGTGTGTCACCAATCCCAACTTGTTCGGGCAACCCTGTTCGAACGTGCGGAATGAAGAGCTTCATGCTTCATGTGACAGCCCTGTTCGGATTGGCGAAAATTGGGATTGGCGAGGTCACGAACACCCATACGAAAAGTGGCGAAATGAGTAACGTTTCGCCTGTTCGAACGATTGTGATGTTCGAACCGAGAGGTAGCGCCCTTAGGTTGGGGTGTGGGCTCATGGGAGAGCTTGTCACAAACAACCCCCCCGTAGCACACTTTACCGTACCCTAACCCACTGCAGCCCACCCCATCCCTTGAGCAACCCAACCAGTAGTCCACCGTGCTCCATAACTAGAGACAGCAGCAGCACGCTTCACACCACATACGCCACCGGCCGGCGATGGCACGTCCGTTGCGCGGCTGCTGTATTACAGTACCAGTGGAAGCGATTGTTGGGCTACTTTCGGTTAGGTTGGCGGAGACTTGAGGTCAAAAGAGGAGCGTAGTTGCGTCTGATTTTGGTTGACACCACGCAGAAATGGATCGCACCGATTCTTGCAATGAGGGATCCATAGCTTTCTAAAAGCGTTTGTACTCCGTATGTAGGGCAACGCTAAACATGTGTAACAGGCCTGCACCGAAAGATATTTTACAGCCTGTGCTGTAGATGTCCATCCTCGTTTACGATTCGTTACCACCGCTGCTGTCGGTACTATGGGATCGATTATTGCGACTCGGTTCAACCTCCACGATGTCAGAGCGGCAATGCTGCTACTACTGCTGGCTTCCATGCAGTTCGCGCTGCGAGCTCGCTTGACGAAAGGTAGGATCTGAGAAATTCGCGCAACGTACCGACGCCTCCGAGCTCGGACTCCGGCTCAGTTATTCCTTAGTATCTCCCACCCGGTCCCCTCCCCCTTCCCTTCCCCATTTCCTCCCCATATTCGGTTCCCTCCCCCTTTTCCCGGGGTGCTTCCCTCTCTCTTCTCCCCTCTCTCTCCCCTATCTTCCGTCGTCCGTCCTCACCTTCATCCCCATATCTCCTCCTGCACCAAGATGTGGCGTGTTTCAGCCCAGCGAGAATTCCATGTTGGCTTAATCCCGAGCACTAGTAACTAGGGTCTTAAATTTTTATGTCTGAAACGGCTTCGCCACTGGACTCAAAGACTCGCTCGGCCCTAACCGTTCAGCCAACCAACCACAAGGATCCATCCAACTACCCCCCTCCCGCCTCCTCCCCTCCTTTTCACCCCGTCCCCCTCCTCCCTTTTTCCTCTGCACTATCTCCACACGGCCATTTCCCCAATTCCTACCTCCCTAGATCCTTCCTTCTCCTTCCGCACCCAACCCCCCCACACATCTCTCCGTCACCTGCGCACCCCTATCAGCCCAGGTCGTCCCACCCCCGTTTGTGCACAGTCCACCTTCGCTCCGCGCCTGCCACCGTTGCCGTTCCACCAACGTGTTTCTGTTCACCTCCCTCCCTCCCATCAGTCACCTGAGCTGACTTTCGAGTCGACTCAAAAGCCACCGTTGCCGTTCCACCAACGTGTTTCTGTTCACCTCCCTCCCTCCCATCAGTCACCCGAGCAGCAACCCCCATCCCTCTCCTTCTCATCTCCCTTTTCCTCCCCCCTTCCCTACCAGCCGCGGTCGTCTCTCCCCGGGTGTGCATAGTCCGCCTGCGCTCCGCGCCTGCCACCGTCACCAGCCCCCCCAACGAATTTTCCTTCCCCTCCTTTCCCCCCGTCACCTGCCCCCACTCTTACCAGCCGCTGTCGCCTCCCCCCGGGTGTACATAGTCCGCCTGCGCTCCGCGCCCGCCACTGTCGCGTACACGGGCGGCATTCCCGGCTACCCTGCCACTGCGCCTACCATTTCCGCTGATGCTGATGCGGATGCGGATACTGCTGCTGCTGCTGGTGCTGCTGGTGGTGCCGTAGCAGGTTCAGAAGAGGGAGGAGGGGGACGAGCAGCAGCAGCAGCAGAAAACGAGCCGTATACTTCTGTGAAATCAAAGGCAATGGACTGGCCACGTTGGAAACCGCGCCCCGGTCCCCGCCCCCCTCGCTCCCCCCCTCCTCCGCGCGCGCGCCTCAACACCCGCGCGCCCCACGTGCGCGCATTCGCCGCCATGCTCTCCCGGCAGCAGCGCCGCGTGGCTCAGGACATCAGCCTCCCCGCTCCCCACTTCCTCCACAGCTACACCCACACCAGCAACGGATTCTCCGCTCTTCTCACCCCGGAACAGCTCCAAAAGCTGAAGAAACACCACCTGGTTGCGGATATTCGGCCCAGTGTGTTGATTAAGAAGCTGACGACCGACTCGCCAAGGTTTCTGAAGCTGCCTGGGTCGCTGTGGAGGGCTGGTGGGGGGAGGAAGAGGGCGGGCGCGGGCGTGGTGATTGGGGTGGTTGATACGGGGATTTGGCCCGAGCACCCTTCGTTTCGGAAGAACGTGAGTTGCTGGTGGGGAGTTGTCTTGCACTTGTGGTGTGGTGAGGATTCTGTTGGTGCTGCTGTTGTTTGTGATTCTTACTCACTTAATCTCTTGCTCACTCTCTTTCGCTCGCTTTCACTCCCTTTCTCGTGCCCTCTGCCTTGCTCTCCCTTCCTCCTTTCTTCCGCCCACCCACCCTACTCCCACCCTCTCAACAGCGCCCATCCACTTCCACTGCCGTCCCACCTCATCGGTCCGGCACGTGTGCACACACATCCGACTTCAAGGGGTGCTCCTCCAAGCTCATCGGCACGCGCTTCTTCCCTGTCTCCCTCCCTCCCTCCCACCTATCCACCCCTGCAGCGCTCTTCCTCTCCCACAGACCGCCCACCCCACTGGTCCGGCACGTGTGCGCGCACGTCCGACTTCAAGGGGTGCTCGTCCAAGCTCATCGGCGCGCGGTTCTTCCTGGCGGGCTTTGCAGCCTCGGGATTCTCCATCAGCCCCACGGCAGACTACCTCTCCCCCCGCGACACCAACGGCCACGGCACCTGGTGCGCTGGGTAAGCTGTGCTGCACTGGTCAGGCGGGCGGGCGGGCGGGTGGATGGATGGGTGGATGGGTGGGTGGAGGGATGGGTGGGTGGGTGGGTGAATGGGTGAGCGACTGGTAGGGGGACTCGTAGGGCGATTGGTAGCGAGTGTCTGTCGGCCATTCACTCACTCGCGCAAATTCATCCATCCAAGCCTTCCTCTCCCTCCCCTTCTTCCTCTCTCCCGTTTTTTCTCCTCCCTCCCCACCCCAACAGTGCAGCAGCAGGCAGGCACGGGGTGATAGTCCAGCTCCCCCTCCGCACCTCCCAACCCAAGGGGCCGCCAGTCGCATGACGCCCGGCGCGCACCTCGCCCATCCATTCCCTCCCTTCCACCCTCTCATCCATCCTCCCACACGCCCCTTCCATCCCCACTCCACCCTCCCCCACGCCCCTTCCCCCGTCCCTCTGCCCCGACACCCAACAGAGCAGCAGCAGGCAGGCTCGGGGTAATCGTGCGTCCTCCTCTCCGCACCTCCCCAGGCGCCGCAAGCGGCATGGCGCCCGGAGCGCACCTCGCGGTGTACAAGGTGTTCTGGCAGGAGGCGCAGTCAGGCGCGCTCTTTGCCACTACCGCCGACGTAGAGATGGCTGTTGCTGCTGCTGCTGCTGCTGCTGCCGTTTCCTCACTCCCACAACCTGCACTCCCGTTCCCCCGTCCCATTCTCCCCGCCGTTCCCCCCTCCGACCCCCTTCCCCGCCCCAACAGAGCAGCAGCAGGCAGGCACGGGGTAATCGTGCGTCCCCCCTGGCGCCCCTCCCCAGGCGCCGCCAGTGGCATGGCGCCTGGAGCGCACCTCGCGGTGTACAAGGTGTTCTGGCAGGAGGCGCAGTCAGGCGCGCTCTTTGCCACCACCGCCGACGTCGAGGCGGCCGTTGATGCTGCCGTGGCGGACGGCGTGGATGTGCTCAGCCTGTCGCTGGGCGCCCTGGATCCCAGCGCCACTTACTTCACCGACCTCACTTATCTCTACGCCCACGCAGTCAGTCTCTCTGCCTCTCTGCCTCTCCGACTCGACGACTCTCCAGCTCTCTACTGCTCTGGTGTTCTGTTTGTGCTGTTTTTGAGGCACCGAAGGAATAGCCTCAGCCTGTCGCTGGGCGCCCTGGATCCCAGCGCCACGTACTTCACTGACCTCACGTTTCTCTACGCCCACGCGGTGAGTCTCTTACTCAACGCTGCTGCTGAGGTGCTCAAGAGTTACCGTTTATGTCATTCTCCGTTTTATGCACCCAAGAAGCAGTCTCAGCTTGTCGCTGGGTGCTCTGGATCCCAGTGCCACCTACTCACCGACCTCACGTTTCTCTATGCCCGCCCACGCAGTGAGTCTCTCTAAATCTCTTCTGCTCTGCTGCTCTGCTTCTCTGCTGCTCGTGACTTATCGTTTTATCACCGCACCGCACATGACCCCTCTATCACACCTCTTAACCCTCTCACGGGCCTCTCTCCCTTCTCACACGCCCGGCTCTCTCCCTCTGCTCACGTGCAGGCAGGCACGGTGGTGGCATTTGCAGCGGGCAACGAGGGCTTACCAGGAAGCGGCTACGAGATGTACCGAACAATCAACAACTTCTCTCCCTTCTACCTCACCGTTGGCGCCGGGTGAGAGATTCCTTCCGTGCCCTGCACTGCACTGCACTCACCCAGCAACACCTGTAACTATGGATACATAGCAGCAGCAGCTGCACTGCAGCACATACCGAACAATCAACAACTTCTCGCCCTTCTACATCACCGTTGGCGCCGGGTGAGAACTCCTGCCCTGTCCTGCACTCACGCTCTTGAATCCATACACTCTTCATCCCACACACACACACCATCAACCCAGGCACTCGCCATGCATGCAATTCCCTGTCTATCACACTATAGTGCTTGCTCATTTCACATCTGTGCCTGACAGATGGACTGTTCATGCCTTGTCAAATGTTTTGCTCATGCCACTGCAAATGCCTTTGCTATCCTTCGTACTTTGTCGCAGCAAGCCAATCGTTCAAACTGATTTCTTGCAGTATCTGATGCGTTTCTGTTTGCCGTTCGTTCCCTCGTTGAAAGCTCATCACGCTCCCACTCCTCCCGTCCCACGGTTCCTCCCTCATCTACTTTACCAGCACCATCAAAAGGAGAAAAAATAAAGGGATCGCCCGGTTTCGATCCGCGGGGCTCAAGTTTACGTCGTCCCAGGACAAATCACAGCAGACAAGGCTGGACTTTCTTGGTGCCTGTGATGATTCTGATGATGACAGTGACGATGCTGCCTGCAGTGGCAGCCAAGCAGCTGATATCGTTCTCAGTCGCACTGCTGCCATCATTTCGACTCCTGGTTTTGCGGCAGGAGTAGCAACATCAGCAGCAACAGCTGCTGCTCCTGCTGCTCCAGGTTCAGACGTCCCAGCAGCTAACAGCAGCAGCACCACAAGCACAGAGCTTCTGGAAACACTTGCGAGAATACCGGAAGCACAGCCAAGACCAACACCAGGACCAACTCAGCTAGCTGCAGGTGCTGCTGCGCTCCGCCCTGACAGAGCCAGGGCACTAGCAGCGCTGTGTGCCCCAGGGTGGGTGGACTGTGCTGCCGTGAAAGGCAAAGTGGTCGTGTGCAGCAGCAGCAGCAGCACCAGCAGCAGCGCCACCAGCAGCACCATCAGCAGCAGCAGCAGAGTCACAAGCAGCAGTAGTGGCAGCAATGGAACCATTTCTGAGGCTCAACTGGTGGCGGTGTTGGCTGCCTGCCAGGCAAAGGCGGTGGTGCTGCTACCTAGCAGCACCGCACCTGCTGCTTCTACTGCTACTGCAGTTGCTCTCAGCAGGCTTAATGAGAGTGCCTCCTCTGATGCCACCGCTGCTGCTGCTGCTGCTGCTGCTGCTGCTGGCGGTGCTGGCATGGGTGGTGATGATGGTGCCACTGCTGCTGTTGCTGCTGGCACTAGCAGAAGCATCCCTAGCAGTCCCGGCACTCCCAGCAAATCCAGCAGACCAAGCAGCAGGCCAAGCAGGCCTGTGTTTGTTGACTTGTACTCGTTGCCGCTTTTGCGACTGGACACCCGCTCTGCAGCACTGCTCCATCGTTTCCTACAAGGAACCAGAACCAGGTCAGAATAATGACATCCCCCTATGCAGGTGGAATTCCCTCACATGCGTGGTAGCTTCTGAGTCGACTCAAAGGTCACCTTGCAGTGCTGCTCCATGCGTTCCTAAGGGGAACAGAACCAGGTCAGACAATAGCAGGCCGAATGCATGTGGTATTACGGCACACCCTCAAAACCATCGCTCACCAGTCCTCCTCGCCATGCCGTGCCTTTCTTTGCTGCACCTTCCATCTTTCCGCTCCTTTCTTTTGCTTTCCCTTCCCTTCCCTTGCCTTCCCTTCCAGTTCCATTCCCTTCCGCTGGCTTGCCCCGATTTGTAAAAGCAACTTGCTTTCTTTTTCCTTTGCTCTGTGGGTTCCCCTGGCGTCTTTTTTTTTTTTTTTTTAGTAAAAACATCATCAGCTCATCCATACCTGCTTCCCCTCTCATCACCCTCTTCCCTACCAAACCAAACCTCTTGTCCCCTTCTTCCCCTTCCATCCCTTACCTTACCCCCTTCCTTACCCCCCTTCTCTACCCCCTTCCGTATGCCCTTACTTACCCCAATGCCAGAGCTACTGCCGCAATCATTGCTTCTATTCACTCCATTACCAAAATGGCTCCCACTGTTCCTTATTTCTCCTCCACGGGACCTCTAGCTCCTGCTGACGACGCACCCTCGCCGCCCTATCCCACCAACGACATCTTAAAGCCCGACATTCTCGCTCCCGGCGTCAACCTCTGGTCCGCCGCGCCCGGAAAAAGGGGGTTGATTTTCCGCCGCGCCGCCTTCGTGAGGATGTCGGGAACGTCCATGGCGACGCCGCACATCGCGGGGATCGCCGCGCTGCTGATGCAGCGGTGGCCCGCGTGGAGCCCCGCGCAAATAATGTCCGCGATAATGACGACGGCGAGCACGCGGAATAATAAAGGCGGGAAAATAAGGGGTTCGACAGGGGGACACGCGACCCCGTGGGAGATAGGCTCGGGTCAGGTGAACCCGCCGAAGCTGCTGGATCCGGGCCTGACGTACGACATCACGCTCGGAGATTTCAAGGATTTTCTCGCCGGGCAGAATGAAACAACGGCGAAGCTGGAATGGCCGTCCGATACGCTGACACCGACACCAGCTTACAATCTCAATAGGCCGTCCATTTCCGTAAGTCGTTTGTCTGGTTCGGTAACTGTTACACGGTATGTTACCAGTGTATACTCGGAAACAACAGTCTACACCGCTGTTGTGGAAGCACCAGCTGGTGTTTCTATAAATGTGGACCCTGGGGACTTCACTATTGCAGCAGGGGAGACAGTTTCTTATAAGGTGTACATTCAGGTCTTGCAAAAAAGAAGAGGGTTCTTGTATGGGAGTTTGACGTGGCGGGACAATAAAGGGCATAGTGTAAGATCGCCAATAATTGTTCAACCGTTAGATGTCTAAAAAGTGTAAAAAAAAGTAAAATATATGTATTTATGTGTATACATCATCATGCGAGTCCATTAAGGAATCATTAGCTGGAATTTGACATTTAAGAATTTGCTGCGTGCTTGTGTTTCACAGATAGCAGTCCGGAGAGGCCAAATTATATGATATATTACTGTATTTCAAAGGCAAATATATAAAGATTTCCAGTCAATTTCACAAAAACTTGCAGTGTTTCTGCAGTAATGGCCTCCGCAACGGAAGCAAGCACCAGGGTAATGTGCTTCCCAGCTTGGCACGTTGTGTTGTTGTACAGAACTCCTCAATCGCGGACCTTCCTAACGCGTATACCACTGCCGCCCACCACATTTGGTGTGCCGCCAGTAGTTGCGCGCCTCGCGTCGTCGTCAGAGCCGTTAGCTTCTGCAAGTTCCCCTTATCGCGAATCTCCGTCGCGGTTCGGTGTAACTGCCGCCAGCACAGTTCCTGTACGCGATATAGGAATATCCACCACCACAAGAGTTCGCGTACCCCGCTTCGCAACTCGCTGTGCAACCGCCTCCGTCGCCAGGCTACAAGTATACGACCGCGATCACCCGTCGCGGTTCCTAGCTCGCAATTCCATCGCCCTTTCCTACATGACACGTGTTTCTCTGTCATTGGCGCGTCGTGCTTCCTTCTCGCCAGTTCCTCCCAGGCGAACAGGATGGATAATATCCAGGAGCGAATCTGGCAATGAGCGGAATCGATATTTTATTCAAAATTGGGAGCAGAATCAGAATCGGGATCTTCCCCTGCTAACAAGAGGAGGACTCTTACACATGGGATTGTCTCCTTTTGAATTGGGTGCTCTGAAAATGTCTCCGCTAAGATTGACTCCTCTTAACGCGACTGCTCTTAACGCGACTGCTCCTGTTTCGACTCCTCTTCGATCGTCTGTCACCGGCCTCCTCTGGTTTGCTCGAAGCGTCTCCTCTGCGCGTCCTGTTTCTGCGTGCGCTCGGCGCGAAGGTCGAGCTGCTCCTGGCGCTGTAGCAGCGGATCAGGAGCGGGAAACGAGTCGAGCTGTACCGGGTACAGCGGATGCGTGGTGGGACAACGAGGGGCAGGAGGAGCTTGCGAGGATGAGAGAGGAAACTGGAGATGCAGATGCATGGGAGGGGGGGGTAGAGTTAGGATTCGAAGAGGAGAGAGGGGAAGAGGAGGAAGGACGAGGGGGAGGGAGGAGGAAGAAGGGGAAGAGACGAGGATCTAGCAGTGGGGAAGAGCAAGGGCAGGGTGTGGAAGCTGGGGACTGGAGGGAGGGTGGGAGTGAGGGGTGGGGCGGGAGAGGGAACGAGGGAGGGAACGAGAGAGGGAGTGAGAGAGGGAGTGAGGGCGTGAGTTCCTGGTCTGCAGCGGATCTCCTTGCTCTCTCTGACGCGCACCTGCTGCAGCAGTGCGACGTGGACACGTACAGGGCGTCAGGGCCTGGGGGCCAGCACCGCAACAAGACAGAGTCCGCCGTCCGCATCCGGCACAAGCCGACCGGCTGTGTGGCTCAGGTGATATTGATATGCACTGCTCACTGCTCACTGCTCACTGCTCACTGCTCTCTACTCTCTACTCTCTACTCTCTACTCTCTACTCTCTACTCTCTACTCTCTACTCTCTTCTCTCTACTCTCTACTCTCTACTCTCTTCTCTCTACTCTCTACTCTCTACTCTCTACTCTCTACTCTCTTCTCTCTACTCTCTACTCTCTACTCTCTACTCTCTACTCTCTCTCTCTCTCTCTACTCTCTACTCACCCCTCTCTCCTCGCTCCTCGCTCCTCACTGCCCATCGTCTCCACTGCTGCTAGCTCCCCCCCGTACCCACCCTAGCCCCTCCCGCTCCTCCTTTCAAAGCCTTTCTGTGTCATCCTTTCGCTCATCTCCCCTCCCCTCCCCACTCCCCCCTTGCTTTTCCCATCTTCGCCTTCCTCTCTCCCACACGCCCCCTCCCCCTTTTCTCCATCCCCATCTCTCTCTCCCTCCACGTCCCCCCTTCCAGTCATGTGAGCAGCGGTCACAGCACATGAACAAGGCCACGGCTCTGGTTCGCCTTCGTTGTCTTGTCCTTGTCCTCACCCCACCCCATCCCTCGTTCCTCTCTTTCCAACCCTTCCACCACCCTTCCAGTCATGTGAGCAGCGGTCACAGCACATGAACAAAGCCACGGCTCTGGTTCGCCTTCGCCAGGCCATTGCCCTCACAGGTGACTGTCTTGCTAGAGCATTTCCTAGCACTGCTGTGCTGCCCTTCCTAGCGCCCTTCCTAGCGCCCTTCCTAAGCATGAGTGAAGACAGCCCTGGTTCACCTTCACCAGGCCCTTGCCCCCACAGGTGCTCGCGGGCTCGCTGCATTGCGTGCTTGCTCACTGGCCATGTTGCCGGTTTTCTCTTTTCGATTTGTTTTGTTTTGTTTTGTTTTTATTTTTGTGTGTATGTTTTTTTTTTGTGATTATTATTGTTATTTTTGTGCGGGAAGGGGGGGATGGGAGGGGGGACAGTATCTGCCAGATGTTTGCGTTTATATATCCGTTTAGGGTTTTACTGCCCAAAGGGCAGCATCCCAACGCTCAAATCTCACATACGGATGCACTCTTGGCAACTTTGCTTGCCAGCCTCAGGCAGACTTTGTTTGCTTGCTCACGAGCCGTCGTGCCTCCATGCCTCCTTCTGTCCGTACGTGCAGTGCGCACGCCCATCCATCTGCCGTCCTACGAGCCATCGCTTGACCTCCTCCGTATCTTACCTCGCTCTGCCTCCAAGCCTTCCAAGCCCCAGCAGCAAAAGCAGCAGCAGCAGCCCTCTGAGGCCAACGCTGCCACTGCAGCCACCTCAACCCTGGCAGAAGGAGGGTCTGTTGGCGGGGATAACGCTGCTGCCAGTAGCAGTGGTGGTGGTGGCACTGGCGGTGGTGCTGGTGCGAGTTGGAGTGGGAGTGGGAGCAAGGCAGCAGCAGCGGCGAGGAAGGTGAAGGATCGCATTGGGCCGAACCATGCTGATTTCCACAAGGTGAGTGATGATACTCCCTCAACCCTCACAACAACCGAGTTGTGGGACATCTCAAAACAAGGTGAGCGATGATAGTCCTCACCTCAACCCTTGCAACACAACAACCCCCACCCCCATCAGCTTTCTTCACCTCTGCAACCTCCTCCTATTATGCCACTAGTTTTCTGTATCTCTGCATGTCACCCAACCGGCAACCACACACCATGCATGCGCGCCCACCTTCGTGCTTGCCTCCCCACTGTTCACCTGCCTACACGCTTGCTTTTGCCCCCGCCTGCCTGCATGCCTGCGTGCTTTCCCATCCGCTTGCTTACCCTCCCATCTGACCGCCTGCCTGCCTGCGTGCACACAGGGCGCCAGTGAGCTTCTGGACGTGCTATCAGCCCATGCCGGGAATGTTTTTAGCTCTTGAGACTTCTCAAAAACTTGCCTATTTTCCCTCCTGCCTGCCGGTCTGCCTGCGTGCACACAGGGCGCCAGTGAGCTTCTGGACGTGCTATCAGCCCATGCCGGAAACGTCTCTGCTACAGCCGCCACCCTCGGGTCCGCACCCCTTCCCCATGCCCCAAATCAGATCCACCATGTCATTGCTCATGCCCCTGCCATACTTTTGAGGCGCCTCAAAAGCCACCATGTGATCGTCCCAAATGCTTATCCACCACTGCACTTTAACCACCAGCACAGCATTTTCAGACACCCACCCTCGTTAAGCTGCTGCGTAGTTTTGGGTCGACTCAAAAGCTTAGCTGCTGCATGAATCCCTGAACTTCCACCAAACTACCGTACCTCTCTCAGTGCACTCCATGCCGACATCTTTCACACTTTCTCCGAATGCAAAGCACACACTCACTCATTTCTCCCTCACATCACCCCCACACCTCCCAATACCTCCTCCCACAAACAATGCAGTATTTCCACAGGCGCTCTCTCCAAGCTGTTGTTATCTGACCGGGGCCTCTTGCAGCGAGCCAATGAGCTGAGAGCTGCCAAGGTAAATCCAGTGGTTGCATCACAGGATATGCGGCAATGCAGTGTGGTGCATTGCATGCATGACAATGCTGTTCATTGCATTTGGGTGCGGTGCAGTGCATTTGAATCTCTACCACTACCGTGTTTCTACCCCCACCCTATCCATTAACCTCTGCGTCTCTCTCTGCATGCTGTTGTGTGCTGCTGGTTGCTGCGTCCTGCTTACTGCTGCGTGTTGCTTGCTGCTGTTAATGTCCTATCACAGGGATTGAAGCCTCTCCGGTGAAAGTTGTCACGCGAGGTGAGGCCTGAAAGAGTTACGGTACCTGTATCGTGTGTCTAACGATCTAATCCACATTCTCCATGATGCATGCTTTTCGGGCGAGATGATATGGTACACATGAATGCCTTTCCATGACAAAGGATGGCTCTGAAGGATCAGGACAGACCAATGCCATGCTGTGTATTATGTTTAGTAGCTTTACTTCACTCAAAATTGTTTTTCTACTGGGTGAATAGACGTCCAAAGAAGATTGGTTTCAAGGCTGGGACAAAAAATTGAGTAGATAGTCAAGCAGAAGAGAGGGCGACGACGACATGGCAGTCCAGCTAAAAATGAATACTGTATTGTGGTGATTCGTTGTGTAACAGAAAACAAATGTGTAGGTACCAGAAGAATCTAAGGGCAGACAGTACAAGACATGGCCCTGCAGCACTGCAACAGAAAAGGATAACACATGTCTCCCCCCACCGTCCCTGGGCTAGGTACTGGTAGGTTTGATTAACACACTTCACTTCTCCAGTCAGCTGTTGACTTGACTCGGACAAAGCTACATCTCCTAGAACAGCACCTGACCTGACAACCCGACGAACCTTCAACTTGACAGCCTGACAGCCAGACAGACTAACTCCGCATAGACCCTACGGCTCTGAGTCCGAACCCTCAACACCACCCCAACTCAAAAACCAAGGCCTCCCATGATCCCATCTCCCTGTTAGGCCGTCCTGCCTGACGATGCCTGCCTGCTCGCCACATCCCACCAACTCTGCTTTACTCTCCCCAGCTCTCCTCAACTCTCCCCACCTCCACCTCGCACTTCCACCCTCCACACTCCCTTTACTGCTCTGCTCCTGGAACAACCGCGACAGATTCAGCAATCCCACCCCCCTTCCCTGACCTTCCTTCCTCTCTTGCTTCCACTGGAACGGCGCACACAGACACGTTGCAATGGGTAGCCCTCCTACACAACCAGCCTGCCGAACCTACCTGCTTCCTGCGCCTTCCCCCTTTCCTTCTGCCTGTCTCCTCCTCCTCCCTCCTCTCTCCCTCCTCACTCCTCCTTCCTCCCTCCCCCCAGCCCCCACCTCCCATCCTCCTCACTCCGTCCTCCGTTCCTCTAGAGCCCCTGTCAACAAGGAAAGGCGTCAATCTTATAGATGCCTTGATTCCGTTCATGCATCTAAAAAAATCAGAATTCCTGTTAACTACCACTCACTCCCTCCCCCCGTGCCCAACACCCCTTCCACTCCCCCTCTACCCCCTTCCATCCACCTCCGCTCCCTTCCCCGATCCTCTCCCTCCCTCAGCCACAACGGCACACGCGGACTATGATTTAGCAGATCAAAGATCCAACGGTCGAGAAACTCAAGCGGACGAGACTTTAAGCAGAGGACGCTTTAAGCGCAGCCTTGAGCTTCTCAGCCTGGATATACGCCGTGGAATACGGCAGGAACTCCGCCTTATGCTTCTCCGCCAGCCAGTGCGCCGACTCCGCTAGCTTCGGGATCTCCGCCACCTCGTCCGCCGTCAGCTCGCGCACGAATTTCGCCGGGCTGCCCGCCCAGAGCTGCCCGCCGGGGATCAGCTGCCCGGGACCGACCACCGTGCAATCCGCGAGCACGGCGTTTTTCTCCACGATAGCGCCTTCCAGAACGAGGCACCGCTGCCCGATAACCACCTCGTCTTCGATCTCGCACGATCGCAGCACGGAGTTCTGTCCAACGGTCACGTACCTCCCTACCGTGGTTTCCGCGGAGAGGCCTGTCGGGGATGCCGACGCGGCGTGCACGACCACGCGGTCCTGGATGTTGCTGTACGCGCCGATGCGGATGTAGTTAAGATCGGCGCGCAGCACGCTGCCGTACCAGACGGACGCGCGGTCGTCGATCGTGACGCCGCCGGCGAGAATCGCGTTCGGCGCGACCCACGCGTCGACTGCCACGTCAGGCACCATGTAGTTAATCGGAATGAGCTGCCGCTGCCGGTTGTAGATCTCGTGGTAAAGGTAGTTAGCGGCCGGCGCGGAAGTCGCAGCAGCAGCAGCAGGAGGAGGAGTAGCAGGAGCGGCGTTGGCGGGAGCGGACGTGGATTGGCGCTGCGAGGCGACGCGGAAAGGGGCGATCGAGGAGGCGCAGGAGGTGTCGAGGAGGGTGGCCAGCGCGGGGCTGCGCGCCGCCGCGAGATCGAGGAGATGCGACGCACGGCGGCGGGACGCGGGCGCGAGGATGTGAGCCCAACGCGCCATGCTGGATACGGTGAAGAGTTTAGAGACGGCTTTAGAATGCAACGCGCAATCTGCTGCTGGCAAGAATCGGGAGAGCGGGGGGGAGAATAGGAATGGCGCGAGTGGGAGATCTCCCCGCTCGAAAATGGAAGCGGCGCGTGGCGGAGCGAGCGGGCACGGATGCGTGGATAGCGGCGGAGGAGACGGAACAAGGGCAGTCCCGCGACTGCAGCTGGAGTAGAGGGAGCAAGCGAGCAGTGGGGCGGAGAGGATGGAGCAGGGGAGAAAAGCGACGAGAGATGGGGGAAAGGGCGGAAGGGGGAAAGGAAGGGGCGACGGGCGGGCGCGTTGACATGGGGGAAGGGGCGCCACTTGGCATGCGGCAGTCTCTATGGTCCCCCATATGCTGCGGGATTGTATATAGCTTTTTGGGTTGCGTAGCAACCCTTTATATTTGGTTTCACATTTTGGAGATATCGTTTCAAAGAGTGATTTTTCTTCATGCACTCTTTGGAGCACCCGTTTGAACATTCTGCAACTGTGTTCAAACGAATGCCTCAAATAGTGAATTAAAACCACTCTTGAACGAGATCCATGAATGTGAAACCAAATATTATGCACGTACGTATCATGTTGAAACCATGAACTTGTTCGACCGACCAACTCGTCGATTAGTACGGCGGCTGGTACGGCCGAGCATAATATTCTGGCTTCAACATGAACGAATGCAATTGTACAGATGAACAACAAAGTTTGAAATGTGGGTGGAGTGGATGCTTCAAAATGAATGTTAAAATGCATCATATAACAACAGAGGTTGATGGGGTCGTTGAAACAGCGAAAACACGCTGCCCCAAAGACGATTAACAACCTCTAATTGCATACATGACACATACTAACACCACACTTTGAAACACACATCCCACAAACAAGAATGCAAACGCACGTAAAAACAAAAAAAAGGTACAACCCATCTAACCAAACGCATAGAAATGCAACCCCACAGTGAAACAAACACGAGAAAACAAGAACACACTCTCGCAGAAACACACCCGCACAGCACACACATACACACACAAAAAGGATTGGGAGCAGACAAGCATAACAAAGAGTTGCAATAAGCTAATTATGTATCAATCACTACTACATTGTCCCCAGTTCCTCCCCCTTTCCGCCTGCCTTCCTCTCCCTCCGCCATCAAAACCTCCTTCCACCCTTTTCCACATTGTCTTCTCTCTCGGATTCCCCTCCCTGCTCCCCACAACGCGTCTCGCACACCTTGCAAAACAAACAGGTCAAGTAGAAAACGAATTGTAGTCGGAAAACGGAGTGAATTTCAGTGACGAGCATGCACTTGATTGTGAAATAGAACTTGAAAAGCAAGTATGGGTTGAAATATGATAAGTACAAAAGGAAACCGAATTTGACGACTCACAAGCGTGGTTTGAGGCATAGATCCCCTTGGGTCAAGCACACCATGCTGGTGGCTCCAGCGAGAAAGGTGCATTGGTGCAACGAGATGGGCATCGCCATGCTACAAGGCGCTAGAGAGTTGCAGCAAGGCACCGGCAGAGGAGCAAGCGGGCTGCCGTAGCAACGCGTGAGCTCACTGCAGCAAGGCGTGAGCACTGCAACGCGTGAGCTCATTGCAGCAAGGCGTGAGCTCACTGCAGCAAGGCGTGAGCTCACTGCAGCAACGCGTGACTGCAGCAAGGCGTGAGCTCACTGCAGCAAGGCGTGAGCTCACTGCAGCAACGCGTGAGCTCACTGCAGCAACGCGTGAGCTCACTGCAGCAAGGCGTGAGCTCACTGCAGCAAGGCGTGAGCTCACTGCAGCAAGGCATGAGCTCACTGCAGCAACGCGTGAGCTCACTGCAGCAACGCGTGAGCTCACTGCAGCAAGGCGTGAGCTCACTGCAGCAACGCGTGAGCTCACTGCAGCAACGCGTGAGCTCACTGCAGCAACGCGTGAGCTCACTGCAGCAAGGCGTGAGCTCACTGCAGCAACGCGTGAGCTCACTGCAGCAAGGCGTGAGCTCACTGCAGCAACGCGTGAGCTCACTGCAGCAAGGCGTGAGCTCACTGCAGCAACGCGTGAGCTCACTGCAGCAAGGCGTGAGCTCACTGCAGCAACGCGTGAGCTCACTGCAGCAAGGCGTGAGCTCACTGCAGCAACGCGTGAGCTCACTGCAGCAAGGCATGAGCTCACTGCAGCAACGCGTGAGCTCACTGCAGCAAGGCGTGAGCTCACTGCAGCAACGCGTGAGCTCACTGCAGCAAGGCGTGAGCTCACTGCAGCAAGGCGTGAGCTCACTGCAGCAACGCGTGAGCTCACTGCAGCAAGGCGTGAGCTCACTGCAGCAACGCGTGAGCTCACTGCAGCAACGCGTGAGCTCACTGCAGCAACGCGTGAGCTCACTGCAGCAAGGCGTGAGCTCACTGCAGCAACGCGTGAGCTCACTGCAGCAAGGCGTGAGCTCACTGCAGCAAGGCGTGAGCTCACTGCAGCAAGGCGTGAGCTCACTGCAGCAAGGCGTGAGCTCACTGCAGCAATGCGTGAGCTCACTGCAGCAAGGCGTGAGCTCACTGCAGCAAGGCGTGAGCTCACTGCAGCAACGCGTGAGCTCACTGCAGCAACGCGTGAGCTCACTGCAGCAACGCGTGAGCTCACTGCAGCAACGCGTGAGCTCACTGCAGCAACGCGTGAGCTCACTGCAGCAAGGCGTGAGCTCACTGCAGCAACGCGTGAGCTCACTGCAGCAACGCGTGAGCTCACTGCAGCAACGCGTGAGCGTGCGCAACGATTTGACAGCGCACTGCCGCAACAAGGCTGCCGCAGGAATTTGCCAGCGCCGCAAAAAAGGCAGCAGCGCACAAGCCGCCAGCACGCAACAACGTGCCAGCGAGCTGCGAGGGCACCTGCAAGGCGCCAAACATAAGGCGCCAGCGCGTAAGGCGCCAGCGCGTTTGGCGCCAACGCAGCAAACGCCAGCGCGCTAGGCGCTAGCGCGTTAGGCGCCAGCGCTCTAGGCGCCTGCGGATTAGGCGCCAGCGCGCTAGGCGCCAGCGCGCTAGGCGCCAGCGCGCTAGGAACCAGCGCGCTATGCGCCAGCGCGCTATGCGCCAGCGCGCTAGGCGCTAGCGCGTTAGGCGCTAGCGCGTTAGGCACAAGCGCGTTAGGTGCCAGCGCGTTTGGCGCCAGCCCGTTAGGCGCTAGCGCGCTATGCGCCAGCGCGCTATGCGCCTGCGTGCTCGCTCCCGTGCGCACACACTCCCTCACACACCCTCTCTCCCCTTCTTAAAATGGAGGCACAATGGTAAGAGGAGACCAATCGGCATTGACAACTTACGAGGAAAGTGGAAAAAATAGGACATTTCGGAGAGAGAAGGAAAAACGCACCTGACACAACCGTGCCTAAGAAAACAACGCGTGGTCGTGCAGCAAGCCACCAAACGCGACGGCGGGAACGGAGGGAAAGACGAGGGAGGTGAGGAGAGGCGACGGCGGGGAGTGAGGGAGAGGTGACGGGAAGGTGGTTCTAAAAACGCTATAGGTAGGAAATGGCGACGGGTTGTGAAGGTACACCTGGGCTCCAATAATTTCATTCCCCCTAATTGCAAGGCCCCTGTCGTCATCTGTGGCTCCTGGTTGAGAGCGGTTCGGTCCTCCCAACAACCCTCCGATACCTTTAACCGAATAAAACCGCTTTCGCTCCGTTCAGAAGAGTCCGAAACCCCGAAATCTTTCGTGAGAGTGTTGAAATTAGAGGGAACTTTTTTGTTCCCCCCAATTTCAACCCCAGGGCAAAACGACAAGGACGCGGCTCGGTGCCCACATTCTGAAATTACCGGAGCCCAGGTGTACAGCATTTGGGGTGGGAAGGAAAGGGGGGATGAGAGTCGAGCAGGTGGTTGAATTCAAGAAACGGGAATCGCAAGGGAGTAGACTGTGCGGTTGGTTTCTTGGGTTTGGTTGGGTTTGTGTAGCGCTGGCAAGAAATTCTATGCCAACGAGGCACGAACCAGTTTTTACAACCGAAATACACCAGTTCCGTTATACTCGCCAAAATCAAGAAAGTTCTAGATGGATATTTTTAGCTGTTTGTGAGACATAGAAAACAATATACACAAACTCACTAGAAAACAATATTGCTTAGTCAAACAAATATAGTTATATTCTCTAATATTTTCCCATTAACAACAATAAATGTTAAGACAGATTTACCATGAGGAATAACAATTTAAAAAACTTAATAACAATCAATGTTAAGGCAGATTTAAGACAGATTTAAAAGCATGTTATAAAGAGACATAGTTCATAGTTTTCTCTCTATACCATAGGTATAATATCAAGCTAGCACGATAGTGGAAGTCCTACGCAACCCTTACGACGTTAACGTCGAATCTTGTTACAACCAATCAAAGGTTTCGAAACTTTTGAATTCGCAAGTGTATGTCAGAATGAGGAATGGATGATGCATTGATGTTGGTTGGGGTACATATAGCTAACCCTAAGTTTTGTACCCCCTAAGACAAACCTCACTATAGGCTACAACATTTGACACACCCCCATAGCCTAAGTGAGGGGTGTCTAGCAGAACCAAACGAGTACGGTCACAAGACCAGTCCAAGAAACGAAGCTCAGGGTGGATCACAACGTCACCACACAGTCTGAGCACAAACAACAGTGGCCACAAGGCCAGTCCAAGAAGTAACAGAGGTATATAGAAAGCAAAGTAAACAGTACACTCAAGCCTAAGCAACACGAGAACCAGTGTCAACAAGGCCTAACTGCACACAGCACCTCTGGTGGTCACAAGGCGGAAGCGCCTTGGTGAAGATGTCTGCAGTGTTGGCCTCGGACTCCACAAACTCAAAGCGAGCCTGTCCACGCCTCTGCAACTCTCGCAGAAGAAAGTACCTGACGTGAATGTGCTTCACTCTGCTCTCCAGTCGTGGCTCTCGACAAAGGAGAATAGACGCCTTGTTGTCAGTGAACAAGGTCGGTGCAGAGCTCGGCC